TTAAACTTGTAAAAAAAGACTTTCATAAACCGTGGCCAAATCAGATTAGTTCAATATGCATGTTATCATAGGCATATTTGTTGGCAGAAGAAGGCATAGATTTTTGTAGAATTATAAACAAATTAACGAAGTTGTTAGAGAGACATGAGCCCCTCAGCTAATTAGATCCAAGCTCTCAAAAGTCTTGAGTTTTTATATCTTGTGAGAAAATCTTGTAAAGTTGTGATTTCAGAGACAAAATTCGCATGGTTGAAACATTTATAAAAGAGAGTTATAAGATTTCAAACTATGTAATGAGCAACATGGTAATACCCGTAGCTATAAAATAAATTTAGTGTGTCATGCTAGATGAGAACATTATTTTTTAATCCAGGTAAATTATACGTGACGACAACATTAAAAGCTATTTCTGGTCCTCAACTCATACTATGGGTACTTTTGAAAGTTTGCCAAGCAAAATAATAGCTTATGGCCCATCATTATTATGTCAGTCACACTTCAAGTTTAAGAAACAACAGACATTTTCTGAAATTGTTTCTGTGACAATAAATATCAAACAAAAATTATGATTTTTTTGTTATCTAATATAATTCCCTTTACCTTTCACGATTTTCAGCCGCAGATCTGCATACTCACACAAATGAATGATGTTTTGCACCTCGGCTCTTTGTTTTGATCTCCTCCAAATGCAGTACAGTGATCTGTCGCCTCAGAAATGGCGGTTCTTAGTCAATATATATTTGTTGGAACAGGATGGGGAAACTGTGGCCAGGAACTAATATGCACTGAAATAACTTCAATTAAGAAATTACTTAATCCCTGTCACTGAACAAGCGGGGTGTAACTAAATGTAGCCGAAAAAGTTAATGACTATCAAAATATAGCCAGTCATGGGGCGGAAATAATCCCGTGGTATAGGATACACTCTTGTATGCTGAGTCCATTAGCGCCTGATCCAATCAGGGTTCATACGTGTTTGGTGTCTATTCTGAACCAATAGAAATTGCATGGCTGTAACATCTATCTGTCTATCTATCTCATTATCCAATTAGAGATAAATCCTTATATCGGCGCTATAACAGTAAATGGAAATATTTACTACTGAAACTATAGTGATACTGCCGGGCTAGTCCAAATTTAGTAGAGCATTCACAATCCTTGACTTTCCTGGGCCGAGTTCTAAGAGAGGGATAATGAACCTGGATGCGGATTCTAATATTTTACCTTTCATTCCTTTGTAACTTTGTCTTTTGATCATTCAAACCATTAAAATACTTTAATCTTACGATCTAGAACCTTTTAATCTTAAATCCTAAGAAATTGTTTTTTAAGATGATGATAATTTTTAAAAGTAAAAGTAATGTCTTTTGAAGGAATCTGTATAATAATGTATTTGCAACATTTTCTTGGAATTTCTTCTGAATTTTCAAAGAGGAATTTGAAAAAGTTTTTGTTGGAAAGTTTCCCAAACCATAAATTAACTAGGAGAATAATTTGAAAGTTCTTCAAAGAATAATCCGAGAGATAAACCAAGTTTGTTAGAATTTTGAAAAGATCTTAAACTTGCTGTTAACTTTCAACACGTCTACAAATTTCAAAAGTTTCATATTTCAAACGCCAAACCATTCTTGGAATGCTAACGTTTTGGTAAAATGTATCATATATTTGAATTTTTATGATGTTTAAATTCTATTTATTCGTTATTTCTGTGCATGTCAGACCAAATCCAAAACCGTGCGTCAGTGTTTACTTGTTGTGATATATTCTCCACTCAACGGCAGCAGACTCAAATGAGGAAGTCAGGGCCGTAGCTGATGGACCCCCCGCACCAACACTCTAAGAAATTTAAAATGTTCATCTAACACAATTTGTTGATGCACCGGCATTAAATTCACAATTCACATTAGCAGAATCATTTATCAAAGGAATTGAATCTTTGCAACAAACTTTAATTTTCTAATCTTTGGATCTTGATGGTGTAAACCTTTAATATTTTAAGCTAAGATGATTTAGCTTACAGATTCATAGTTTGAAATAAATAAGGTTTACAACTAAAGGGTTCCAAAAATATAGAGATAGGAAGTTTAGAGTTGTGGCAAAAACTCAATTCCATTTGATTCTGATAGGGTGAGTTTGATGCAGGTGCTCCAACAAATTTTGCTATATGAAAATTTGAAATTTCTTAGAGTGGCTAGGTTAAGCATTCAGCATACGGACAAAAGAACGGCGAATGTAAAAGATCATCAAAATCATGACTAATTTTAATCACAAATTACGGTCCTGTTACGACAGTGGAAAAAGTTTCCCTCCCAAAGAGAACCCAAGAAAGCTGCATCTCGTACTGTAATGGTTTTTAGCGTTGTAGGCCGAACATAGTAAGGAAATTTGGATTTCAAAATCGCCGTTGGCCTTCCTTGCTCTTCATGCTCGATGATTTGATTAATTGTTGTATAAGAAATAAAAAAAAATACTGTCAGAGTGCACACACACTTGCCCAACAGGAATATTCATCTTGAGACAACTGTCTTAGCACTCGTGGACTGGAACGGTCACCATTAATATAGAAAATCAATCCATTAACGTAAGAATGTATTTTTTCTTCTGGATATTGTCAAAGGTATAACTAAATCCATTACCCTCAACTAAGCTTTCGGTGACTCTCCCTACCCCTGTTTAAGGCCAGTCAGTGCAGGGGTTAAAATTGTTCCCTCAAAAAAAATCCTATTAAACCGACTACAAATGTTCGAAGAAACAAATAATAATGTAGAAATTATATGGCTGGCAGCGGCCTGCCTTCCCTCCTCCAGATTCTGGTTGAAACTGGATATTTGATTGTATCTGGTGTTGTATACTGCCAGATAAACAGAATATTACTCATTTTATATCCATCCTTGCATTCCCTCTCATCAAATATATATCCTGCCAACCTTGTCGTTTATATAAACAATACTTCAAGTAAAACCTGGCATCTCATCTCATCCTGTTGCGCATACAGTAATAAATAAAAACATCAATATTCATGAAAGAAAAAAATCTTTTGGAAATTTTTGGATAAAAATAAGAATAACACGATACAACTTTGCTATAGTTTCTTGGGATTTTGTTTCTTAACGCATTTGGAATGTAAGGACTAAATTGCTAAAAAAAATTGTATAAAACCTTTTTACTATAAAAACAAGGAAGTTACATGTACAATGAACACTTCATCATTAAAATTTCAAATTTTCGATGAACTTGAACTGGAATATCTATTTATTTTTGTTATATTCATGTCAAAGGAGTTGAGTTTTTGCCACAAACTCTGATTTTCTAATCTCTATATCTTTGTAACCCATTGTCGTAGACCTTAGATATTTCAAACTATTAATACTTAAAGATAAAATAAGCTAAATTTGAAATATCAAAGGTTTGCACCATCAGGTTGCAAAGATATTGGGATCAGAAGATTTGAGTTTGTGGCAAAAACTCAATTCCTTTGTTTAGATATTTCGAATATATTGTTTTTCAAAATATAAGATATTGATAATTTCAGTTATTGCGTAATCGATTATATGTATATATATATATATATATCATATTGAAATCGCGAAAAATCCATTTTTTCTGTCTTTTCGTTAAAACTCGGAAATTTTTGCAAGAAAACATTAAGCTAATCCCTTCTTTTTTTCCTTCATCAAATATTCACACTGATCTTTAAAACGATATTTTTTGTAAACATAAGAACCGAAATAAAATAACTAACTAGAGCTTTGGATGTCCTTGCCAACAGTATATTTAATAGACTTTGTCACCACATATATTGTTTTACGCATAATTAACTGTTCGGTCCTTGTCCCAGCATGCTGCGCCTTTTGGTCACCGTTTGATTAATTAAACATGCATTGTTAACCTTTTACCTTTCATACTTTTTTTCGGCGGATACGTTTTATATTAGTCCAAGGTGGTTTAAATATATTTGTATTCAAATAAAATATGAAAAAAACATATAATTGGTAAAATGGGTTTGAAAGTTAGGGATTATTGGCTGTCAATCATAAAACATTGAATAAAGAAATGCAAAAAATATGCATTTAATGAGGAAATATAATTCTAAAAGTAAGACACACAGACTCTCCAATCCAGGTATCTGAATTACTGTTATTTCTATTCCCAAGTTTAACATTGGTTAAAAATTCTATCAGTAAGATGTCATTTCTTGAAATTATTTACTCTAAGATATTTCCTCCAAAATTAGTTTAGAAGTTTTGAATACTAGACGAACTAAACCCATGCAACAAACATGAATATTAAATAACTCTGTTTTTATTTTGTCCTGATCGTTTACTATATGCTACAAAGGAATGGAGTCTTAGCCACTAACTCTTAGTTTCTTTTCCCCATATCTTTGCAACCCATCCCAAAAGTATGAATTTTCATGATCTGAGAGTTACTTTTGAAAACATTTATTCCTGTTTCGAGGATTTTTGACAATGAATACGACATTTTCATATTTTCCAGGAATGTTCGAAAATCCAGCTCCAGCAAGGATTATTTTAAAAAAACAAAATCAAAAATATTATGAAATATTAACTATATACAAAAACGCCAAAAAAATAATCGATGACTATTGTTTGTAATATCTGAATGATTTGTTTGGAATTAAATTGATTTGTTTACGATCCGAGTTGAATGTTGCATCTTTCCGAATTTGTATGGACGCTGCGTTCTTCAATGTGAGTCGTTTTTAACAATTTTCTCCTTATAGACGCAACAGATAGAAGTAAGATTAGTAAAATTACTTTGTTTCTCCAGATTTTAATTCTACCTCTTTCAATCTATCTATATAAATACTTTACTTGGGTGTCTGGGACCTGGACGTCTGTTTGTTTGTTTTTATCCAATAAACACCAAACCGGCTTAACTGATCGGGCACAAATTTAGTGTTGAACCTCACGTGACCCCAGGGAAGGTTTATGGATAATCAAAAATTTAAAAAAGCTCTAACAGAATTCGATTTTCATTAAATTTAAAAAAAAGACTAAATCTTTTTTATAATGTATATTGTAAACAAAGAGAAAATGTTCACAATAGAAAAAGATGATGTGTGCGAAGGGCCTGGAAAGTATTCATATTTTGTGACTCTCTGTTTAGTTCTCTGTTTAGTTCTCTGTTTGTATTTCTTTTACGTCAAACATCTAAACTGATCGGGCCCATATGTGGTCATATGAATTGCCATTTATATGGCAATTCATATGACCACGGACTGTCGACTGAACCAACTTGACGCGCCAATTTAAATAAAAAAATCCGCCAACATTTCAGAATGATTAAAATTACCACTTTTAGAGCTCTACAAGACTCGATTTTTTTAAAACAAAAATATCGCAATTCTAAAAATGAACTTTCATACGACTCCTGTTATGATTGAATGTATCAGATGTGAGACCAAGTGATGCTGGAACCTATCTGTGTGAAATATCTACACACCCACCAACGGTACTGCATAAACTGCTCGAGGTCAAAGGTAAATTTAAATTTATTAATTCATTCCATACATAATTGAAAAGATGCATTTACTCAAGGCCCTTTAGTGATAGAAAATGTTTAAAAAATCGTCCAAATAACACTAAATAAAATACTATCTAGAAAGAGTATTCAGAATACGTGAATATCTACAGAAATATATTTAAGACATTTAAATTTTAGAAATGATTGATGTCAAATTATTAATTTCTACTTTGCATTCGTTGTATTTGTTATAATCAAGCCGCCCGCTGATAGCAAAGCTCTATAGCAAATTTTTAAAAGAGATTGATTAATTGCTGTTATGTAAACATATCAAATGAGTTTCTAAAAATTGCTTTCAAAATGTTTTTTTGGGATGACCTGGAATATTGAAAGTTTAATGAATTACATTTTACGCAATTTTATTGAATAAAAAAGTTTTCACAAAGATCTTTCATCATATCGTATATTTATAGATTTAATTAACAAACTGATATAACATTGTGATATTATTTACTTTTAAAGCAATAGGAAAATGAAATATCTCGTCAACGACTGTAATTTTCCAATCGTTATATCTTTGCAACAAAATGGTGTTAACCATTAATATTTTGAAATTAGATAATTTACCAAATTTGAAGTTTGAAATATCAATGGATATCTGTTTCAAAAGCTGTAAATTTAGAAAAAAAATTAGCGGCAAGTAAAAAAAAATCAAAAACCTTGCAAAATTAAGATATTCAAAAAGAATAATATTGGTTTGAAAATTCATCAAATAAATTAAAAGATGAAATAACCCTGTTAAAGAATCCAGAAACGCTAAGTTTACCAAGTAGGATAAGAAAATTATTGTGATGGTGGCCTAAAACTAAAAAGTTAAATTTCTAAACCTTAGAACAATCTCCACGTTATCTTTTATTATGCCTTTCAATTTTCTTCGTTAATTAGCCCTCATTTTGCCATTTAATTATTCACCTTTTTAGCTGCAATCGTAGAAATATTGAGCGACATGAACGCTGATAGTATTAATCCAGGTAATCAAAAAGAGAAAAGGAATTATTTTTTTTAATAACTTGTTGTTAAAAATAATTATCTTACATTTATCTATTTCAGTTTAAAGGTTATATATTGTATCGAACCAAAAAATTGTATTGGTATTATTTTTGACTTGGCATGCTCAAATATTTGAAATCAAATATATAAACAATTATTGTGCATATATTAAAACTAAAGAAACGATTGTGACTTTTAGAGTGAAATGGAGTAGCTAATAATATGGCATTTAATTTTAACAGAAAAAATCTAAATAATTCATGTCATCCGTTTTATTTTGTAGAAGAAAATGTATTGCATTTCTGTTACATTTTTTAGTATTAAAACAAATCTTGGAATCAAGCATGTCCTAAAAGGTCGAATTATCGGTAAAGCAAACATATAATTATTGCTGGAAAATCTGCGCATCAAAACGTAAATTAAACTTTCTTAAATATTTCCTCCTCTGTAAGTTGGTTTTCTTTGAAGTTCTGTTTGTACAGTGCACAGTGAACACATACACAAGTCAACTCATTAATTACATTAGGAAGTTTATAGTCTAAGACACAAAAACTAACACATTTAAGAAAACAAATACATTTTAAAAAATCATTTCTTAATATTAAAAGAAATAGTTGTAGTAAAAAATACACATAAATAATAATGAAAATTCGAATAGTGTACTTAAAAAAACGGGATGATTTTGTTTTACTGGAAAACTTTTTTCATTTACAATTGTTTCAACATCAAAAATCTTAAAAAGAAAATTTAAAATCAAAAACCTCAGCAGAATTATTCAAATTAAAAATAAAAATAAACAAAATGGTTTTATGATAACTTTGAATAACAAATTTTGTGAATTTGAATGGTGAAGAAAAAATTCAAATAAACGCTCTTTTTTGTGAATGTAGTTTATGCCTGGCAAAAATAGGAATAAAGTTTCCTGATTTTGGTATCTTTTTTCTTTATATTATTCTTTTTGTATTTTGTTATTTTGACAGAGTGAAATGCAATTATTGGATAATATTTAGCAAAGAAATGATTTCTTGGAATAAATAATAGTAACACAGAACAAAATCAACAAAAAACAAATCTCAATTTGTCAATATTTTGGTGAATCGCATTAAACATTAATCAATTTAAATGAAAGAAACCAACACATTCTTGGAAAATTTAAAAAGAATTTTTTTTCCATCATATGTATTTTTGTTTCAGTGTATGGAGTTGAGGATAAATTTTACAATCCTGGTTCTGATATTCAACTCAGGTAAATTTACAGCACGTTAAAGGCAAGATTGAATTGTATTACCTGAGAAAATCCAGTTGTATTCTAAGTGTTATATTACAAAATTTATTTTTAGAGAGTAAAAAATTCCATGGAACGAGGGCATGTCCGATTTACAAGTACTCTTAAAACCTTTGTGTGTTCGTCGAGTACAGAGATATCTGAGAAATATGTGTAAATTATCGTAACCTGTCTGTATTCAGCTGCAAATTCCGTTGGACTCAATACAGTCGGGTTACGCTAAGTTTACACACACATATATCGGTTCTCGATAAAAACACAAAAGTTTGAAGGATACTGTTGTAAATTGGTGACTGCCCTCTTAAGCATTTGAGGTCACCCCTTTTAATCAGGGGTCCATATAATTTCTTTTTCAATCCCATTTGGGATTGACAAATTTGAAAGAAATGGGGGCAAATTTTTT